CTGCCGGTGACAGGGGGTCAGGCTAGATGATCTGTTCAGGTCCCTCCTGACCCTAGCTACTATGAAACTATGAAATACATAGGGAGTATGAAGAAAGCACCGGGTAACATGGGACGCCTGCAGGATACGCTAGGGAATCTGGTGGTTGCACCAGAGGAAAAGGCAGACCTTTTTAACAATTTGTCTCCATTTTTTTGTGCAGGGACCAGGACTCCCCCACTGAGATTCAGGATGGACTCAGGAGAGACTCTGACAGGCCTAGGGTTGGGGAAGACTGAGTTAGGGAACTTCTGGAGGGGCTGGACATGTTCAAGTCAGCAAGTCCAGATGATGTCCACCCCAGGGTGCTGAGGGAATTGGCAAGGGTTATCGAGGGGCCCCTGGCACGGCTTTACGAGCACTCGTGGTGCTCTGGCCAGGTGCCAGATGACTGGAAGAGGGCAAATGTGGTCCCCATTTTCAAAAAAGGGAGGAGGGAGGACCTGAGCAACTATAGGCCCGTTAGTCTTACTTCGAACTTGGGGAAGCTCTTTGAGAGATTATTCAGGAGCACATCTGGGAAGGACTGGCAGAGAGGATGATGCTCAGGGGCAACCAGCATGGGTTCATTAGGGGCAGGTCCTGCCAAACCAACCTGATTGCCTTTCATGATCAAGTCACAAAATCATTGGACACAGGTGTCAAAGTGGATGTAGTCTTTCTGGACTTCAGGAAGGCTTTGCAACGGTCTCCCACCCCATTCTCATTAAAAAACTAGGCGACTATAGCATTGATGCCTACACAATCAGATAGGTGGCAAATTGGCTGAGGGACCGTACCCAAAGGGTGGTGGTGGACGGGTCATATTTGACCTGGAGGGATGTGGGCAGTGGGGTCCCCCAGGGCTTGGTCCTTGGGCCCGCATTGTTTAATCTCTTTATTAGCGACTTGGACGAGGGGGTGAAAAGCACCCTGTTCAAATTTGCTGACGACACCAATATCTGGGGCAAGGTGGGCACACTAGAAGGGAGGGACAGGATACAGCTGGATCTGGACAGATTACAGGGGTGGGCGAATGAGAATAGGATGGGATGCAATACTGACAAGTGCAGGGTACTGCACTTGGGCAGTAAGATCCAGCAGCATACCTATAGGCTGGGGAACTCCCTTCTCAAAAGCACAGTGGCAGAAAGAGATCTTGGAGTCATTATCGATTCCAAAATGAACATGGGCTGCCAATGTGAGGACGCAGTCAGTAAGGCCAACTGCACCTTGTCATGCATCCACAGATGTATCACAAGCAGGGCCAAGGAGGTGATCCTCCCCCTCTATGCGACACTGCTCAGGCCACAGTTGGAGTACGGCATTCAGTTCTGGGCACTGCACTTTAGGAGAGATGTGGCCAGCATCAAGAGGGTCCAGAGGAGGGCCACTCGCATGATCCGGGGACAGCCGGGCAGACCCTATGAGGAGGGTCCCAAGAACAGGTCAGGTTATTTTTGACACTATGGTAGGGGTGGGCAAAATGTGACCTGGGGGCTGGATGCGGCCCGCCAGGCCATTCTATCCAGCCCGCGGGGCCCCTAAAAAATTTAAAAAATTAATATTAATCTGCCCTGGGCTGCCTGTCATGAGGCCCTCAATGGCTTGCCAAAACTCAGTAAGCAGCCCTCTGCCCAAAATAATTGCCCGCCCCTACACTATGGGCACATCTACATGAAACAAGAACTATGCAGTAGCCAAATAATACTGCACAGTAGCATGTCACAGCACAGTGCTCATACGCTACTGTGTAGTATTATTAGGCTAATGAGTAGTAATGTCATGTAGATGCACCCTATGAAATCCAATTTGAAACTCTGGGTTTAATCTTGTGAATCATGTGTAGGTGTCTGCACAACAAACAATGCTAATATTGTGTAGTACAACCATGGCACCCTTTAAAGGATCTTATGGTTGAGAATCATTGTTATAGACTAATATTACCCCTATATTTATCCTTGAGAGTCATCCCATTTATCTGCAGACGGCTTAGGACAACTTTCAGCAAGACCGTTCATGTTGCTTTACATGCCATGCAATCTCATAATGTATACTGGAGCAGTGCCTAGTGGGGGAACCTATAGGATGAGGACTAGGGGATGCGCAAAGTGAAAGACACTGCTGCTGCCTAGTGTTTGCTTGGATCGCATGATAGCAAGCTAGCACAGCATTTGACTCACAATAATCCCCTACATTTTGATAAAGCTTCAATCCGTCCCTCAGAGTCTGGCATTTATTTGACAATGTGATACAATAGTCGCTAGCCAGGTTTTGCCTAATGAAGGGAATAAGCATCACAATCTGGAGTGGACCTGAACTCCCCTGGAGTGCATAACTTGGCCCTCTGCATGGAAGTGACACTTTCCTTCTTGATGATTTATATACAGAAAAAGGCAATCTAATTCATGAGAAATAAAGACCATTTTTTTAGTGAGAGAAATTGAAAAGAGGATTGTTACATGCAGCTACAACATGCCAGGATCCCAGCATTTTCAGGAAAAAGTTATTCAGTTATACTTTTATGTCCTTAGCACAAGCTCATGAGAGCCCATTCCCGCTGCCTTTACTCCCATAAGACTTCCAGAGAATCAGATTCAACCTGTAAAGCCCCAATGACTCCTATAAAAATCTGTGGGGCTGCAGGGTAGGGACTAAGTAAAATTTTGCTCGCTGATTTGAGTTCTCCTGGACTACAGACCACAACAATAGGCCTTTTGTATCCAACTGTTCTCATTGTTCAGAAGTCACTCTCACAATATAACTCAATTTCCATGGAAGTTTTTGCTCCTTTTTAAATGCCCCCCAATTGTTGAAAATAAATTCTATTAAAAATTACTAATTTATCATCTGAGAGAGCGATACAACACAGTAGATGGCAGGAGCCAGCAGGGAACCGCCAGACTTCCCAGCTGAATCCTTACCAACAACTGCTCTGGGATAGCAGCTCCAATACTCCCACATAGGTAGTGAAGAGCAGTAAGGAGCCTATTCCTCAGAGTTCCTCAAAACAGCACCAGTGAAGAGAGACTTGAGACACTCAGCCCCAGACATTATAAAAGATGTCTGCTCTCAAACCCTTTGTGCTTTAACTCTGCGAGAAACAGGTTGGCCTCCTCCTTGCTCTTGTACCTCAAAATCATCTCTCCTTCCCTTTCTGTCCTCTCCCATTTTACCCATTACCCAAAAGGAAAAAAAAAACCCACTGCACCAACAAAACACATGCCAGCCTTCAAACTTACTGCTCTGTCCAGAAACTGTTATCACAATTCACCACCCTCTTTTTACATGGTGATCATTCTAGAGTACAGACTAAGTCTGTTTTTGTGTTTGTACAGCACAAAATGTTCCTGACTGCAGTAGCAACCAATGGCCCCAAATGCTACTATTATGTACTTAAGATTATTTTACTTCATTATTTTGATGAAAAAGCAATAGCCACTATAGCAAATCCATCAATGTGCAACTCCACAGTAGGATTCTAACATTTTAAGGCAGCCAGTAGGGACAATTCATGTAAAAAAAAAAAAAAAAAAAAAAAAAAAATTATTTACAGTTTACAAAATGTATTATTGTTTCTATGTACCAGAAAAAGGGGGTATTTTTTTTTTAAAGTGAGATACAGAACTTTCATGTCAGTATAAGCTACAAAATTTAAATCTCTATTTTCATGCAAGTATTTGCCTCTACAGCATATAAACAGACCTGCACTAACAGCCATCTTAAAGTAAGAACATTAGTACACTTCTTGAAATTAGCTCTGTTCCGAGCATACACAAGAGACACTGTAAGTTGTATTAAAGCAAACCTACACAACTTTGTCTGGAACCCATATGACAAACTTACAAAGTTTAAGAAAGTTATTTCTCTGAGGACTAAAATTCCAATACACATTAGTTATCTTTTCATAGGATCTGTTAGTTTTGGAAACAAAAATTGTATCCTCAAAGCTGACAAAAATAAAATAAAAATATATATATATATGGGACCAAGTTCATCTCATGTTATTCCATTTAGTAATATCATATCTATTTGGCCCATGTAATCCAGCACAGTAAAAATAATGCATCTTTTGAACTAAATGAACTATAGAGAATCATCACAAATGTGGTGGGTAAAACAAACTTGTTATGAGCATTTCATTAGTAATAAGGGAAGCAAACTTGATCTTCTTAGGTGCATATTAATTTAAAGTTTTCTAAACAAACTTACATAAGTAACATCAGTACAAGAAGCAAACAAGCAAATATAACTATTATAGTGACAAGGTTACCTTATTCAAGCAGATTAATTCTCACTAACTTTTGCAAAATTACTCATTTGGCCTGCTGAATATTCATAATTAACTCTAATTAGCTATTTGAAAATGTTCAGGCTGATAGCTGAAGATTCTTTGTGCATAAGGGTCACTGTCTATTGTCATTTTCTGTCCCATGTAAGTGTGGTAGCTCTCCTGATGAAAATGCTCACAGTGAAGGTTAATCCAGTCTCTTTCAGTGCTGTATCTCTCTGCTTCAGCAAGGATCCTAGTTAAAGCCATAATGTAACTTAATGCCATCTGAAGGGTCTCGTATTTGGATAGTTTCTTATCTTGACCCCATTGTGGAACCACTTTTCTCAATCGATCAAAGGCTGTGTTCAGTCCTTGCATTCTTCTTCTTTCCCTGGCATTAGCAGCCAGCCTCCTCTTGGCAGCACTCTCCATCCTTTCAGAACTACATTTCATTATACAGCCTGTTCCACTTTTGCACTGCATATCTGACTCCAAACCAGAATCCACATTATTTGATTTACAGCTCTTCATATTTGAGGCAGCTTTAAATTCTGAGAGAAAAAAAATGTGATAGCTGGAAACTGCTGGAGAAATCACTCTTAGAATGCAGGCTTTGTACCTTCTGTTTCCAGAAGTCAGTGAGAGTTTATTTTCATGATCTCAAAAAAGAAAATAACAGTTTTCTGGATGAATTTTACATAGACTCTCATTTGGTGTAGAAACAAGAAAGCAAGCAACTGCAGTTTGCAATTGGTCTGATGTTCATTTCTTTAAATTTGACAAAGAAAAATGAACTGATGAGATCTCCATTCTGAAAAATTCAAGACAGTCCATTTAATCAAAAAAGATTTTAACAGATTAAAAACACATCTATTCCAACAGGATGTTTGCTTTAACTAGCAGGAAAAGCCCCAGCTCATTTTAGGACCTGATATTTTATAGTGATAAACTGTTG